TCGTTCAAGCATTTTGATCTTTTGACTGCACTTCTTAATCCGCTCGTTTTTAATGTTGATTTCCTGCTGAATACTAGCATAATGCCCCTGCAAGAGATCACGGTCCTCGCTCTCCACTCTACCCAGGGCACGGGCAATAGCGCTCAGATGCCGCTTGGCCTCCAATTTACGCATCCTATGACGCTCTCGCAATTGCAGATCGTCAACTCTTTCGCCGCCGATCAGAGAATGTTTAATTAAATCAATGCGTTTTCGTGCATGTAACTGAAAATCCTCCTGTTCCTGTGGAACAGCTTGTTCGGAATGTTCAGTTTTTGGATTGGCCGCCTCTGCAGTGGTCTCTTTAAGGTTCCTCATCTCAGCTATCATCTGCTGGCGCATCTGGGATTTTGCTTCCTCCAGCCATAATTCCCTTTCCCTTTCCTTATTATTGTCCTCAACAAACTTGTAGTGCACAGCACTTTCGTGTTGCTGGCTTTCATCGAGCATTCGCTTCAAGTTTAAGATTTCTTCCTGATATTGTCGTAGCTGGGCATCTTTGGGGTCTTCGTTTATTGTGGGAACATTCGATATATTCTTTGCCCGACATGCGTACCGCAGCGTAGACAGCGTCTCGTCGTAGTTGCTGTCAGCTGGCGAGATGCATGCTACCATTAGAGTTTTCGTGTTGCCTCCCAAGGAATCCTGTGGATGTGCATAATAAAATAATTAAATATGAAATTATTTTCTAAGATTTATAAGCACAAACATAAAAAACAAATTATGAAAATTATTGTATATACTAGAATGTACTCAAAATCTTTCAAACACTCTTTTAAATTTAGACAGATCCAGAATCCAAAAGTAAAGAGCCACATATATGTATACCCTTCCTTCATAAAGATTGGACCGTCAACGCCGAAGCTGTGAATACATTTCCCAAAGTGTGCAGCAAAGAAACGGCGAACCAGCCCGTGTGTAATATAAAAAGGAATCAAGTACCAATTTAGTCATTAAATATAAAGCTGGTAGCTTTTTGACAATAAGCGAATATTCAACACAGAATTATATACTGCAGAAAATTGCATCAAGCTCGGTTAAGAAACACAGAAAATATGTGCTCACATACATTCATATGCGCGACTTTTTTTTAAATAAGTATATAAATAGAATAACAGATTGTATTGCCAGCCGTACTTTTGTCAATGTGCTATTTTAGTTTAGCTTTTTTCTTCTCTGGTGTGGCTGTGTGGTTTGGGGCGATGGGAAGTAGTTCTGTCAATTTAATATTGTTGCGAGTTCGACACCGGCAGAGGGAAGTAATTACCCTTTTTATACCCTTGCAGAGGGTATTATAATTTTGTCTTGAAATATGTAACGCTTAAAAGGAGATATATCCGACCTCATAACCTCATAAATAATATATATTCTAGATCAGCATCAACAGGTGAGTCGATATACCCATGTCCGTCTGTATGTTTCTATGCGAACTAATTTCTTAGTTTTAAAACTATTCTCATGAAACTTTGCAGAAGACTCTTTTTCTGCTGCACGCAGTACATATGTCGCAACTAGCTGGAACGGACTACTATATCATATAGCTGTCATAGGAACAATCGGTCAAAAAGTAGGTTCTCGTATGAAAAACTTTTTTGTTTATTAAGATATCTTGACCAAACTCGGCATTTATTAGCTTTACTATGCTCCTCGTATATACTCACAATTCTATCAATATCGGACCATTATTTCATATAGCTGCCATACGAATCGGATCGGACGAAAAGTAGGCTCTTGCATGGGAAACTCTTGTTTTTCAAGATATCCTAACCATATTCGGCATTAACTATTTTCCCTGTACTTCTTAGATATCGGCAATCAGCTATGAGGATTATAAAAAGCTTAGGTCTGCAAGGGTATTAAATCTTCTGCGTGCCGAAAATAGCCCAGCTTTTTAATTTTTTTCTTTTTATTAATTGTTTTTATTAGTGGTACTAGCCTTCTTTCTATTAATAGGTAAACAATATTTTATAACTAAGGCTGACGAGCACTTAGCGCTGGCTCATTAGGGTTCAAAGTAATCCCTAGTCGGGAACTCCCGACTAGACTAGCACTAGTTATCTACATGTATAAGTATTTTCGTACTTAACTGCTTACCTGTAGGAGCCGCGTAAGCTTAGAATCCCTATATGGCACATGCTTTGTTTTGCTATCCACAAGTGCTGAAATGACATTTCCCAACGCTGAGAGCGATAAATTGATCTTTGTAGCCTCTTTCAATCGGTCACCAAAAGCGCCTGTTTTGGACTGCCTTTCGGAGCCTGCCAGATCAACTAGGTTTAATTTTCCTCTACGTATGTTGCCAATAGTTTGGTCCGATGACAGATTCGGCGGGGCTGCTGCCGATTCTTGAATTTGTTCCAGACTTATTGTAAATATGGTATGTGATCGTGAACTCTTTTCATTCATTAATGTGGCTCCGGTTATGCGGTTTTTGTTACCCACACTCAACCAGTTATAACAATCCATGGCATTCATAACTGCCTGAGTAGTTAGCGTAGGAACTGTGACGCCTACGCCTGGCACATCTTTAAGTGGATGGTTTTTAAAGCTATTTGGCTCGTTCGCACTCAAGAGGTCTCTGATATTTTCATTATAAATTTCTAAATAGCTGACTAAGGCCAGGTACCTAACGCTCGTCGCTATGGAGATCGTTTCAAATATGTGGTCGAAACACCTTTGTATGATTCCATTGTTTTCTGCAGCGTCCGAATATCCTTCTCCCTTTAATTGAAATAATTCTAGCTAAAATATTTGACAACTATTTCCTTCACTCACCTGCATTGTGTGTGTTTTGCCACATCCGGTCTGGCCATATGCAAAAATTGTTCCATTATAGCCCTCCAAAGTGCTTTCAACCAAGGAGTAGCACATATCATTGTAGATTGTCTCTGTTTTTGAAAGTCCATTATACACGCTGTCAAATGTAAATGATTTCCTTGGAGCACTTCGAGCCAAGGGATTAACCACAGACACAGCGTAGTCGCCAATTTCCACAATAGACTGTACGAATTAAATTAAAGACAAAGCCAATTATTCTATGATAATGCCTCAATTCTTATTAGACATAGTAAGAAATATCTATTCCTGTAGTGGGAGCGATATAAAAGACAGCGATGCCGTTCTACATACAAAACATATGTATTTCTTACTCTCTTGCTCTCTGAGCAACAGGTCGTGTCTCAGACCCGAACAAAAACGAAGACGACTTTGGACCTGCCGATTAAAATATGCATGGTCCCATTTCTTTAACTCTAGTTGTCCAGTCTCTATGTTCTATGGTTAGTGGTTTAATCCAGTAAAGTGTATATTATCTTGGTCAGCATCATAAGAGCAAGGCCGTTGGTCCTCTTATTCCCTGCACCACGAGCTTGCGTCCGTGCATCGATAGCTTTCCCCGTTTCCAAGTAATCGATCAAACCGATATTGAAAGCTAAAGTCACAAAATTTTACGTGCTGCTATTGCAGTTCACACGGGAAAAATGAAGTAAACCTATTTTAATTACTCTTGTAAAAGCGAGCTTCATCTGATTTGTAGAAGAAAGTGCAGGGGATATCCCCTACTTAGATATGGCAATTAAATGTCTTTAAATATCAAAGCCAAAGCCTAGACCTTCAAACATTTGTTTTTTACATTTTGGAAGAAAGGAAATATGAGTTATTCTGGATATGTGTATACGATACCATTTTGACTTGATATATGGTGACATTAACTGGGACAGGAACTGGGATTGATGCGTTCGTATATACGGACGGACGGACATGCAAATAAATTAATTTGTAATCAACTAATTATTCTATTGCACCAAAAACTTGGGTTCATAGATGTTAAGAACTGAAATGTTTTTGTTTTGTTTGCAGCCTAAATTATAGAAATTATAGAAAACTGGCCTTTGGAGGACTGCTTGTTTTAAAAACTGTTATATGGAACTAGATATGCCATCTGTACATGCAGACATGTGCGCATATACATATGGGCATAAATCATCTGTTTGTGTCTTGTTTACATAGAAAACTGGTCTATCGAGGACTGCTAGCTTTATAAACTATATCATGGAACCATGCGTATACATTTGCATATTTCATCTGCAGACATGTGCACATGTATATGCATGTGTGTGTGCCATGAATATGCTTAAATTATATATATGTTATTATTATTATATTATTTGTATAAATTTATATATGTGTGTATGTGCTTGTTAGAGGGTATGCAAGTAGTTTTAACATACATCCGACTTCTTGTCAATTTCCTTTCGATTCATGGGCCGACAGCGCACAATAACTTTTACGTTTTCACCCATTTTAAGTGGGCTTCGAGGAATATCACCGCCAATGTAGAGTGCACGCTCTGTACTGTGCAATCAATAGCTTGAACTTGAACCCATATTCAGGAGAGCTATTGAATATACATATATGTACAAATAACGAGAAACAATTACTACTTCTACATATATATATATATATATATATATTACATACATGTTAGCTTCATGTTTATGCGTGTGCATTCACGATTACCAAGTTCTGTTAACTTGGCTTATACTTGCGGCCTGCATTTGAGACAACAGCTAAGCTTTTTGAGAATATATTATATTTTATTATATTATATTTATCCAAATAAATGAGAATTTCACATACAGGTGAAATGTTGCATGGACTACTAACAGGAAGGTCATTTAATAAAGAACAAAGCACATCGAGTTTTAATTTAAATTGAAGTTTAATCAATTGATTTCAAACTTAAGATATTTAATTGGATTAATGTAAATGGCAAATGTATGGAAAAGGTTTCATAAACTGTAGTCAGCAAAGCTCTAGGGCAAAATTATAGGCGCATGCGTTATGCGAATTTAGGTGAAAGCTTCGAGCCATGTGCAAGCTTCCCTTATAAAATATAATGTGACAATTGAAGATTTGTGGCTGTATATATCGAACTTCCGGAGTTCATGCTGTATAAATTTAATAAATTTCGAGTGAATTGATTATAATTTGATACGAAACACACGAAAAAGTGCTTTCCAATTTGGAAAAGGTTTTTTACCACTCAGAAATGAGTTAATACCTATGTAAAGGGAATTGCGTAAAACAGATACAAATTAAATTGTTTCTTTCGATTTTTGCCGAAATCGAAGATGTGCAACAATCAGAGACTGTGACTTTTAATGAATATGCAACACGAGTATACGATATGCTTAGATAATGTTAACGATTGCTGTTTTTTCTGCGGACAGTTGAAATTTAAACGAAACACCTTAATGACAAAGGACCCGATACACCTGAAGGCGTCCTTCGGGATATATTCCATACTGCACCTGTTTTTGCTGTCCATGGTGCTGGTTGCGAATGCTTTGCCTCCAGTGATTCGAGTCGGTAAGTTTATTAACTAGTTAATGTCATACTTAATTTTTGCAATTTGTCTTCTCTTTTCTTAGGAGCAATATTTACCGAAGACGAACGGGAAGGCAACGTTGAATCGGCATTTAAATATGCGATTTACCGCATCAATAAAGAAAAATCACTTCTGCCTAACACCCAACTTGTCTACGATATTGAGTATGTGCCACGCGACGACTCCTTCCGGACCACGAAAAAGGTCTGTCGGCAATTGGAAGCCGGAGTCCAAGCCATCTTTGGCCCAACCGACCCACTGCTGGCGGCACATGTGCAATCAATTTGCGAAGCCTTCGATATTCCGCACATTGAAGTTCGCATTGACTTAGAAATTGGTGTCAAGGAGTTCTCTATCAATCTGTATCCGTCCCAAAACATTATGAATTTAGCCTATCGCGATCTAATGATGTATCTCAATTGGACAAAAGTCGCTATTATATACGAAGAAGATTATGGTAACTATTCAAATATCTTTATAGTTACACTTAAGGCTTACATATTAATATTGTACATATTAATAGTGTATTATTATAATTTTGTCGGGAAATGTGTAACGCATAGAAGAAGACATCTCCAACCTCATAAAGTATATATATATTTTTGATCAGCATTAACAGCCGAGTCCATATAGCCATGTCCGTCTGTCTGTTACTACGCGAACTGACTAGTTTATGAGAGACTTCTCCGTTTTAAAGCCTTATGAAATTTTGCAGAAGTGCTGTATTCTGTTACACGCAGTAAATATGCATCGTATATCGTATAGTTACCATAGAAACGATCGAAAAGTAGGTTATTGTAGGAAAAACATTTTTGCTTATCAAGGTATCTTGACTAAACTGCTCACTTATTAGTTTTACTAAGCTCCTCGTATGTACTCAAAATCCTATCAACATCGGACCATTATATCATATAGCTGCCATATCAACGATCGGTAGAAAATTTTTTGTATTATATTTATAAGTTTCACAATGTTCCCTACAGTTATGCAAAATCTTATTTACATCGGACTACTATATCATAAAGCTGACATGGGAACGATCAGTCTAAAATTAAGTTGTTTAAGTTTATGTTGTTGTTAAGTATTTGTTTTTTAAGATACGTAGACCAAACGTAGATACGGGCAAAGCTATATGAGCATTAAGAAAAAGTTGGGTCTGCAAAAAAAAGAAGGTTTTTTGTCTGTCTGTCTGGACTTAAGATAGATAAGGATTTGTAAAGATGTAAACAAAAATTTCGTTCAAGAAGTGTCTTTCCTATTAGCTTTGAAGAGCCCGTTTTCACTGACCACAGATTATTTATATGTATTTGTTTCTAATGAAAAGCTACATAATTATGTTTTTCAGGGTCCAAATGCATTGCAAAATAATTTAAAAAATTATCTTTGTTAAACTTCCAAGCGTTCATGTTTATAAAACGTCTTTATTTCAGGACTTTTCAAGCAGCAGGACCTAATTCACTCATCTGCGGAGATGAGAACCGAAATGTATATAAGGCAAGCAAATCCGGAGACTTATCGTCAAGTTTTACGAGCCATCCGCCAAAAGGAAATTTACAAAATAATAGTTGACACAAATCCAACTAATATCAAAACTTTTTTTCGATCAGTACGAAAGATTCCTATCATTTATTTGTATATATTAGTATGTAATTATCTGTGTCCTAAAATGCCATGCATATTTGTGTAGTTGATGCTAAAATTTAAAAAGAATCTCCATTAGCCATTAAACGAGTAAAAAGAACTCCTTGTTAGAAAAAATAGTGGTCTACTTTTTGACACGTTTTGAGAAGCTTATAGCTCCTGTGTGAAACATGGGATTCAATGTTCTCTTAGTCATATTGTGATCAGCTTTAAAGTTATCTTTAAAGATCTATATTAGAACTTACTGAATACAATATCAATTTTCAAAGATATTTTTTGCTAAATTCAAGCATCTTGGATAACGGATTGGAACAAATTTTTTTTTTGGCTTTAAGCACAAAAATGGGCAGGAAAACGAAGATTCTAAATTGAATCTGTGAGTTTGTCGGCCTGTCTAACTTAAGAGATACAAAAATCTAGACAAACCATTATTTGATCAAATGAAGTAGAAATTTCAGTGTATCGTAGTTTAATTAATAGGCATAAGTGTGCTTATGCAAAGGATTCCGAATTAGAATCAGGATAATACCGAACAATCGGGACGATTTGTACTAAATTATTCAATTTGTTTAGTATATTTTTTAATACGCGGTAGCCAAGTATGTTAAAAATGTACCCAAAGCAGCTAGCAAATGTTTTTATATTTACCCATTTGGCCTTTACTATAGATACATTATAATTTATAATTCGTTATTCCCATTTTATGCAATCGATATGATTTGGCTTCAGATAAGAGAAAGGTCGACTTACAATTTCAGATTCTACAGCTGCAAATGAATGACCATCGATATCATTATATGTTTACCACCTTCGTAAGTACTAGATTGACGTTCCATATTAGTTTTTTGTTAAACTAGTTTTTCGTTAAATATATAACAGGATTTGGAGACGTTTGACCTGGAGGATTTTAGATACAACAGCGTAAACATAACAGCTTTCCGTTTAGTAGACGTCGGAAGTAAACGTTACCAGGAGGTGATAGATCAAATGCAAAAGCTGCAGCACAGCGGATTAGACATGATAAACGGGATGCCATACATACAGGTAAGTGGATACAAGGAGTAGAGCGTAAATAATCATTTTTTTACCTATCCACATTACATTCTTATTTAAAAAGGTTATGACACCTGAATTTTATTTTACATAATCTGTTTGTACCGATTGATTGGTAATCACAAAGCTTAACCAATAAAAGCTAGGAATGTGACGTCCATTTATCTTATGTGTGTTTAAAAATTGCGGAAAATTGTTGCCTGAATGTTTTTGTTACTATTCGTTCATCAACAAAAATCTTTCATCGAATTAGTTTCGGTCGCATTCCACGCATTCGGAAATGCCGCTCTCCGGTGGTGGTAATAGGGGTCAACGATTTGATGGCTTCAAACTCATTTTTAAACATGTTTGCGAAAATTAAATTCATACATTTTTAGTCGAATTCAAATTTGTCAAATTTTCCATACTGTGCATAAAGACTAAATAAATACGTGTTTAGCGATTTTGCGATACCTGCAAATAGGTAAGCATGGAAGACTTAATACGAGATAGAGAAGACTCCAAGCAGATTCTTTAGAATATTAAATTCGATCTAATTGAAACAAAAAAGTTGATTTAGCTTATCAAATAAAAATAAAGTCGTTTTTGCCAATTAAATGAACTTATGAACAAATAACAAGTGAGAGGTTCTAGTCGGGAACTCCCGACTAGGGGATACCCTGAACACTCTTCTTCCAACATCAAATATATTCTATTTTAGAGTTCTTGGACTAATTCTTAATGAAAACAAGTTAGAGGTTCTAGTCGGGAGCTCCCGACTAGGGGATACCCTGAACCCTCTTCTTCCAACATCAAATGCGTATGCGTATATATATTTATAAGACATATGTCAAGTTTGGTGACTCTAGCTCTTATTATTTACCAAAATTACCCAAAAAAAAATATATCGATATCCTTTTTTTATCGATTACTTGGAAACGGAGTAAGCTATCGATTATCGAAAACAAACTCGATCTGCGCAGGCACGAGAAGCACCTACATCATTTCAAGATGCTTCCTTCTGCCTGTTACATACATTTGGATTTTGCACAAATACAATATACCCTTATGCCCATTTTAAATGGGTTCAGGGTATAATTAAAAGAAGTCCTGACCTTATTGGCTACGGTCGTATTGGGCTCAGGGAACCCCAGAAGAAACCCAGCTACATATAGAATACGAATTTACGCATATAACATTATGGGTTCTCTTAATAAGATACCCGAAAATCTAGCTAAAAATAATGACTTGGAAGCGATACCAATACCCTGCTTAAACAAGTATAGATGAAGTCAGACTGCATTCCTTTCTTACTTGGGAAGTAAACTAAAGCGGATTAATAGATTCTGGAACCCACTGTGGAATGGTGATTTAGTAGAGCTGCAGTTGAGTTGAGATGATACGATTCTCTCAGGGGAATACCTCTAAAGTCGACATCAGATTAGTGATAAGATCAGTGATAATAGGGTTTTAGATGGAGTTCGACACCTCTAACTGATTTGGATAAGGCAAATTTTTGTTAAACCTAGAGCAGAAGTAGCTAGGCGAACTGTTTCCGAGCAATTTGGCAAAGTGCAGAATTCGCACTCTCATCTGCAAATTTATCCGAGGAGAGTAACATGGACGCCTTTGCCTTAGACTATGTGAAAAGAGAAGTCCTTTTAGCATATACAATTTTCATGGATCGGATTCAACATAATCTCGTTTGTTCTTTCGAAAGCCAGGCCCTGCAGACCTCACTGGATAATAAGATGGAACACAGATCCATAAGCCCTCAGAGTGTCATAATGCAATTAAACAGCTCCAATTTTGTTGTCCGGAAAAAAAGAATTCAAATCGCTGATTTTGATGCCTTGGTAGGTTACGTATTGGTAGTTATTTATTTTTTAATTTATTTATTTACTATTTATTAATGGTCGACAAACCGAGTGTCTTCCTCATTATTCAATAGGTTATACAATAGACAATAGAATTATATGCTAAAGCCTAGTTAAAGAATACAATTTTCTAAATAGCATCACCGACCGATGGAAGTGTTTTATTTGCCAGTCCGGCCAGCTGTGCCCCTTTTCACAGCTAATTTTGTCAGTGACGCTATTAGAGCCTACCTCTAAGCAGAAGGTTGTAAGTAGGAAAAAAGTGTTCTCAAGTAAAATTAAAAATAATCTTAATTTGATATGTTAATAACGAAAATACAATAAATAGGAAAAAAGAGAGTAAGAAGATTGTTAATAAAGTAAAGCAATGTTAGTTAGATGAAGAGTGTTAAGTAGATAGGACAAAGAGAAAAGTAATGGGAAATCACCGACCCGGTGGGGGAAAATTTTGTCCGGCAAGCTATGCACCTGCTCATAGCTGGGAATGGTCAGCGACTTCCCGAAGGTATCCTGAAAGCAACGATTTTATTAGGGGTAGAGACAGCTCTGTAGAGAAAACGTGATGCAAACTATTATAATTTTTACATAGCACGCGAAAGGATTGTGCATAGCGTAGTCTGTTGTGCACGTAGATAGGAATAAGGGGCGATAATTTCTAGTTGGTCTAGCCGGAACAGAGAATTGAAGACGCCCTAGCAGAGAAGGGGAATCTATGTCGCCAATAATCAACTTATGTAGAAGGGCAACACCGAGAATTGTTCTACGGTTGGTTAATGACGGAAGGTTGAGAAGAAGCAGTCTGCTGGAGTAGGATGGCAACCGAAGATTAGGGTACCAATTTAAACCTCGTAAGGCAAAAAGCAGAAATTGCTTCTGAACAGATTCAATACGATCCTAGCTATAGTTATACTGCGGAGACCAGATGCAAAAGCAGTATTCAAGGATAGGCCGAACAAGAGAGATGTACAGAAGTTTTGTTATAAAAGGATCGTTAAACTCTTTAGACCATCGTTTAATGAATCCAAGTACACCTTTTGCCTCATTAACGATGGTATATATGTGAAGATTGAAACAGAGTTTAGAATAAAAAATAACGCCTAGATCCTTAACTGTTAGTATACGTTACAAAGGGATATTGTCGATTGTATAACTGAGAAGATAAGGTGTAGTATGATTAAAAGTCATAAACATACACTTTGAACAATTAAGATGCAATTGGTTGGCCCAACACCATAGTTGTATAGCGTTCAAATCGTGTTGTCGAGAATGATGTAGGGGATTAGTGTATGATAGAAAATGTTTGACATCGTCCGTGTGATATAACAGAGGGGAGATCATTTATAAAAAGAGTAAAGAGTAAAGGTCCAAGATGACTAAATCTGAGGAACACCAGAAGTAACGTGAACCCGTTTAAAGGTAGTCAGCCTCAGCATTACTCTTTGGGTCCTACCTTTTAAATAAGAATTAATCCAAAGCAAAAGAGACAGGGGGAAACCTATTCGGTCAAGTTTAAAAAGTAAAATGTCATGGTGCACAGAGTCAAACGCCTTACTGAAGTCAGTGTAAATGACATCAGTTTGCATTTTCGAAAGGAAAGCATCATTTACCAAGGAAGTAAACTCAAGCAGATTGGTCGTAGTTGACCGATTCTTTACGAATCCATGTTGAACAGGGGAAACAACTGATTTGCAGAAATGCTGCAAATTCGAAGTGATTTTTTTTCAAATAATTTAGGAATAGCGGACAGTTTTGCAATGCCCCTGTAATTTCGTATATCAGACTTCCCACCTTTCTTGTGAAGAGGAATGATATAAGATTCTTTCCAAAGAGATGGAAAGACAGAAGTTTCAAGGGATAGATTAAAAAGCTTTAGCAATGGATAAAGAAGGGAAGAACTACACTCCTTGAGTGGACAACTAGGAATATTGTCCGGCCCAGGGAGTAAGAAGATTTTAAAGAATCTATAGCTAATAGGAAAGAAATAGTATAAGGGTAAGAATTAGTATTAGGACAGACTGAAGAGTAAGTTGATGGAAAAAATTAGCAAAGAGGTTAGCAGAATTAGTGTCATTGCTGGCAATTGAGCATTGCAATCTCTAAGGTAGGATGATAGACATCCTAAGGAAGACATAAAGGAGGGGACCTAGACACATTAGAAATAAGGTAGTCGTTAGCAAATACAAGGTCAAGTGTTCTAATCAAATGATTAGAAATTGAATTGATTTGAAACAACGAAAGATCAAGCATGCAGTCTATAAAATCGTGCTGTGCTGAGGGCACTAGATAATTTTTGGCAGTAAATAATGACCAAGAGATGTTGGGCAAATTAAAATCACCCAACACCATAAATAGGTCATTATCAAGCACGTGTGAAGAAACTTCTTTAATACAAGTAATATGTTTCATATAAACTTGAATATCAGAAGAAAGTGGGACATAAGAGCATGTTTCATAGACATTCCGTGTAGGAAAAGACACATTAACTGAGACAATCTCAGCGTCAGTAGGCGTACTAAAACAGAAAAGTTCTGAAAAGACTGGAGAGTGGCTTTAACGGCAATTAACACCCCACCACCTCGAGTCGGCCGATCATTTCTATACAAAATAAAGTTATTAGATAAAATCTCAAAATCAGATATGGTTGAGTTCAACCATGTTTCTGAAAATGCTATTATATCCAAATCGAAGGAAGTGCTGGCCATGAAAAAATTTTTAAGCTTTGAAATGAGACCTCTGACATTCTGATAACGAATAAAGATTTGGTCAGAAGATGAAGCTAGTTATTGGACTTGAATGAAACAGGTGAATCGCACTTGTCGCTCGTTTGCACTTTGATATGGAAGAAATGCAAGTAATCTTTTATTGGCATTATTATAATCTTAGGTTAAAGGGTTTTATGACAGGCATTAACGATCAGAATGTCTAGCATGCGTCTGGATCCATACCATTTTCATTGCCTTTTTATTCATTTGTGCCTTTTGCGGCTGCAAGCCCACCGCAGGCATGCCAAAAAAAAAACAAAGACCGTGCCAGTCGCCCAAATTTACGCACCCATTCATAAAAATATCTCTGCCTCACGATAAACCCTTGATCAGCTCATTCACACACATTTGTGAGTGTGTATATGTGTGTGTGTAGAGCTCGAAATTCACAAATGCCAAAAACTTCAAATTTTGTCAAATTTGCATCGGATAGGCAGGCAGGCAACCAACACGCACACAAACGCATTAATGCTTCCATCCATATAGAAAACTGTGTTAGTGTGCGTAGTTGGCCGACCCAAAAAGTTATCATGCACACATGCCAGCGATCAGGTACCCTTACCCCTACAACAAGCATGGAAAATAGCAATTTTGCACATGAACAGGCCAAACCCTTTAATAATATCACACAACTGTTTACTCGAAAGAGTGTGCGTTTGCACAAGCAGCAAGTCGCAAAAATTGAACATTGGCAATTTTTGACCTGTTCTGAAAATTCTTACAAGCCGACGATGAATTACCCTTGCAGAAATACGACTTAGATATTTTTGTATTTTAAGCAAAATAGGTCCCTACAGTAAACAGAAAATAAATATAAATATTTAATTTAGGTCAATTAATTGTGTATTAAATAAAATTAGATCAAATTGTTCTCATCATGCCTGACTGGACGAAGAAATACATGATAGAGCATTTAAATGTGAGTGCCTATTGCCACCACAGGCACAAAAGGCACACAATTGAAGAAACCTCTGGCTCGCGACAAACGCCGCGATCTACTTGTGCGCACATCCACACAACACAAACATAGGAATGTTTGTAGATCTCGGGGAGGGAGAAAGAGATGGACGCAAGTGCGCAAAGCAATGAGTGAGAGCGAGGCACGTACACACATATGTTTTTGGGCTGTAAGGATTTAAAAATGGCATACATACATATATTAAGAAAACGCATCAGGCGCGACATTGTGCGCTGAGCGAGATGCGGTTTCATACTAAACGTTCGGCTTTTGAGGCCGGCGTTCGGCTGCCACTCTCAGCAGTCTTACTCTGTCTGGGCACACTAAAGTGGTCGCAGGTACCATTGGGGTCGCCTCGTTTCGATTTTTCATGTTTCGATAAAAAGTGACATTTGGTATGTCTATACATTGTATGGTTAGTGGTATAAGCAAAGACAATATAAACACTGTTTACCCCATAAAGTATATATATTCTTGATCAGCATCAATAGCCGAGTCGATCTAGCCATGTGCGTCTGTCTGTCCGTCCGTCCGTCCATATGTATGAATACAAGGATCACAGAACCTATAAGAGCTAGAGACTTGAAATTTTAGATGATCGAGTTTGTTTCCGATAATCGATAGCTTACTCCGTTTCCAAGCAATCGATACAAAATCGATATCAATATCCTGTTTTTTGAGCAATTTTGGTAAATAATAAGAATCATCAAACTTGACATATAGCTTCCAAAATACAATATATATATTCATTTGATGTTGGACGAAGAGGGTTCAGGGTATCCCCTAGTCGGGAGCTCCCGACTAGAACCTCTTACTTGTTGATTATAAAATCAAATAGATTTTGTTATATAAGTCTTAAATCTATTTTTATAAAGATCTTTTAAATTGAGTTTGAAGTAAATCAAATGGAAACTTAATAGATGCATTAGAATAAGAATTAGAATTTGCGCTTAAAATTTCCAATCTTGCTGATACAGAATTTTTCAAACCGATTGGGTAAAACTTAAAACTGCGCTCATACAACATATTCCATCCAAGAGAAGTTGATTTTGCAGCCTGTAATGAAATAAATTAAAAAAACTTATACCTATTTCAGACAGAGTCTGCTCTCATGTTCGATTCGGTATATGCATTTGCATATGGGCTGAAACATTTGGATAGCAGTCACACTTTAACGTTCAGGAATCTTTCATGTAACTCTGACCGAGTATGGAGCGACGGACTCTCGCTATATAATTATATTAATTCGGTGAGAAAATGTTTATTATAATTTTTATAATTGTCAATTATATTGTTTTTATTGTTATAGGCTGCAGTTGATGGCTTGACTGGAAGGGTTAATTTTATTGAGGGTCGAAGAAGCAAATTTAAAATTGATATACTAAAACTGAAACAGGAAATAATACAAAAAGTCGGCTTTTGGCAACCGGATGTGGGTGTTAACATTTCTGATCCTACTGCATTTTACGACTCCAACATTGCAAATATAACTCTGGTCGTAATGACTAGAGAGGTTCGTCCAATTATTCATATTTTTTTTATACCCTGAACCCATTAAAATTGGGTATAAGGGTATATTGTATTTGTAAAAAATCTAAATGTATGTAACAGGCAGAAGGAAGCATCTCCGACCCCATAAGCTATATATATTCTTGATCAGCATCAATTGCCGAGTCGATCTAGCCATGTCCGTCTTTCTGTCCGTCCGTCCGTCCGTATGTATGAACGCAAGGATCTCAGAACCTTTAAGAGGTAGAGACTTGAAATTTTAGATGTGAAATTTTAGGTGCTCCTAGTGCTTGCGCAGATCGAGTTTGTTTCCGATTATCGATAACTTACTCCATTTCCAAGCAATCGATAAAAATTGATATCGATATCCGGTTTTTTGGGCAATTCTGGTAAATAATAAGAGCTAAAGTCACCAAAATTGAAATATAGCTTCTAAAATAGAATATATATATGCATTTGGTGTTGGAAGAAGAGGGTTCAGGGTATCCCCTAGTCGAGAGCTCCCGACTAGAACCTCTTACTTGTTTATACTTACTTTGTTTGGGCCCACCAGGAACGTCCGTATGTTATGGTTAAGGAAGATGCAAATCTTACCGGAAATGCTAGATTTGAGGGCTTTTGCATAGACCTACTGAAGGCCATAGCACAACAAGTTGGCTTCCAATATAAAATTGAATTGGTTCCCGATAATATGTATGGTGTTTACATACCGGAAACAAATTCTTGGAATGGAATTGTGCAAGAGTTAATGGAAAGGGCGAGTATATACATGTGTTTAACTGCATTTTTATATATATATCAAAGATTTACTGAATGACTGAATGGTAAGTCACCATTGGTGACCAAAGCACAGTCCAAAACATAAAAGCAACGAATCTGAAATCTTTATTATACAATGAACCCATTGAAAATGGGTAAAAAGGGTATATTGTATTTGTGCAAAATGCAAATGTATGTAACATGCAAAAGGAAGCATCTCCGACCCCATAAAGTATATATATTCTTGATCAGCACCTATAGCCGAGTCGATCTAGCCATTTCCGTCTGTCTGTCCGTCCGTCCGTATGTATGAACGCAAGGATCTCAGAGCCTATAAGAGCTAGAGAATTGAAATTTTAGATCTAGGTGCTCCTAGTTTCCGCGCAGATCGACTGTTTCCGATAATCGATAACTTACTCCGTTTCTAAGCAATCCATGAAAATCGATATCGACATCCTGTTTTTTGAGCAATTTTGGTAAGTATTAAGAGCTAGAGTCACCAAACTTGATATGCTGCTTCTTGAATATTATATATATATCAAGTATCTTTCATTTATACCTAGCGCCATCCCACCGTTAACATTGCCAACCAATTCAAACCACAATTTAAATGCAATTGACTTTTTGAGAATACACAAAAATTCTATGCTATAATAAGATATACTGTAGAAAATTTTATAAGGATCGGTTAAGAAAAAAACAAAGTTATATGTAACTGCGCAATTGAATGGGCAGCTAGCGAAAACATCAATGCAACAACTGCATTTGGTGTTGGAATAAGAGGGTTCAGGGTATTCCCTAGTGGGGAGCTCCCGACTAGAACCTCTTACTTGTTTGGCTTCAACTCGTGAACAATCATATGTGGGGGCCAAAATTGAAACATTTATTTTGAAAAATTTTATTTGAACTTGAATCTCAAACTTTACGTCTTAAGAGTAATAATAAAACTGTAAATTCCATCGAATTGACGAATCAAAAGTTGCAATTAACGGTGGTGAATGAGAATCTTATACTTTCCTCTATTAAACCTTTGACCCGCATTTTCAATCCAAAAGATTTAAGAGATGATCGTAGCAAATAAATATGAACAAAGATCTTTAAAAATGATTTGTAATAAATCAAGTTAAACATAGCTCTTGGAAATAAATTGAGGCTGTTTATCGAGAATGGAATTTCTTCAAAACCTCCATCATATAAGGTAACTTCAGAGAAAATTTAAGCTTCCAAGCTTTTAAGGTTTGGGCTGTGCGTTGCTCACCAAACAGTCAGAGTTGGTAACGACACACAGGTTTATATATGCAAGTATAAATATTTTGTTTTTATGCAAGCCAATAAATGAATTCTTTTTATTATATTTCAGCGCGCAGATTTAGCTGTCGCGTCAATGACTATTAACTATGCACGAGAAAGTGTTATTGACTTCACCAAACCATTTATGAATCTCGGAATTGGCATTCTATTCAAGGTAAAATGTTATTACCCTCCTGAAGGTAGTTCAAATGCAAACAGGATAATAAGTGTACACTTTCTAAAAGCCGATTAAATCATCTTACTTGGTACTCTTATGATTCACATATGTCAGACAGTGGACAAAGCAATGCTGTCAAAATTATTAAAAAAAAAAATATACGTTCACTACTTACTTGTATGTATGTAGCTAGGATAGACTGCTTTTAGATGCATTTGTTGTATGTAAATTAACTAAATGTTCAGCAGTAACTTTGAAAAAGCTAAATCATAAATCCTTTAGGTGCCGACAAGTCAGCCCACACGACTGTTTTCCTTTATGAACCCATTGGCAATCGAGATCTGGCTGTATGTGCTAGCTGCTTATATCTTAGTATCCTTCGCGTTATTTGTGATGGCTCGCTTCTCTCCGTATGAGTGGAAGAACCCGCATCCGTGCTACAAGGAAACTGATATCGTTGAGAATCAGTTTTCGATATCCAACAGTTTTTGGTTTATAACGGGCACGTTTTTGCGACAAGGATCCGGTCTGAATCCAAAGGTATGTTTGGAATTAAGCTTATTTGCATTTACTGACGATTAACTAGATATTGTGTGCCTATTTCCCCGTGGTTTTTTGAGCACTGTATAAAGTATAAGTATAAGAACTGAGCCGTTGTATTTCTTAAGTTTTATTGTCTTTCAGATATCAGATCGAGCTCAAACAAAGTTTTTCTCTTTTATGAATCCACTCGCCATCGAAATATGGTTCTACATAGCATTCGGCTACATTCTTGTATCTATCTGTATATGGATAGTAGCACGATTATCACCTATGGAATGGGTTCGTTCGAAACCAGCCTGTTCCATGGCATGCGACCATATGTTGCGAAAAATTCGAAAAGCTAACAAGGCCTACGATCAATTGGAACTGAAATCTTTCGTTAATGATCGGGATCCTGATAACAAGTGCTGCAAAGAGCACATAAATAATTTAAAGCTAAATGATGAACACACAGCTATTAATCATAATAATGCTGCTACTGTCGACTATTTTATAAAACCCACTGTTCTTCAGGACGATGATGAGAATGATGATGATGACCCCTTGGAGTTAGTAAGCGTACAAAATGACTTTACACTGAAAAATAGCTTTTGGTTTGCAATTGGTGCTCTAATGCAGCAAGGGGCCGACTTATATCCAAGGGTACGGATATCTGTTATATAACTAAAATAGGTATTCTCTACATATAAAACTGGAGCTAGGATTCCTTATGTGATGAAGGTGCCCGTTTAGATGGGGTTTCGGGAAATTCCACCCGCATGTGTGGAAAAACCGCGAAAAACGTTTGTATGTAACTTTTTTGCTTACGATCCGATCGGCCGATCAACTTCAATTGAGGGGCGTTTCACACTTTAGAAAATGGGTCAAGGATTTGTTGGTGGAAAATAATTTCGGACTCGTTTGCCACTTTTAGGGATTCTCAGTTCTAAGTTCAAGATAGTACAGGAAGAACTGGGTTAAAAAGTTCTAATCAAAATTTATAGGAACAAAATTTGACACGGGCAGGCCGGGAAATGTGCAGTCTATGTATATACTAGTTGGTATTTCAAGTCCTTACCCGGACCAAGTTCTTTGCGTGAAACTCCACTTCGACAGTTATATTTTATATAGATTATTTAAATTAATTAATAGGTGGCATCAACGTCTTTTGTCTTGTTGGGCCAATGGGGTAAGCCTGAAGCCGAAAAATATACTGTTCATTTTAACTTTATTCATTTAATGTTCACTCTATTCATTTTAACTTTAGTAAAAATTTTTCTTCAAGAGGGTTCGCGAAAGGCATAAAGAACGTATCAAATTGTTTTTATGAAAATATTTGAAATGAGTTTGAAGCCAATCATATGCTAAAGAAAAAATTGTACATTTTCGACAAGTTTCCACGTTCGCGGGTGGAATATGGAAAATATAAAGTTTTTATGACTTCTTTGAAAATATGTTCGAACCCTTTTCCGCTCAGAAAAAGTGGAATTCCCGAAAATATGTCTTTAATACATTTGCTTAAAGATCTTTGCAAATTAACTTTTGCGAAAAACGTGAAACAGGCATCAAATATATTTTCACAAAAATAATGTTGAAATGTTCAGCGTGAAATTTCCAGAATAGCTAAAACGCGTGTTTTTTGAATTCTTATGTAGGGCATTAAAGTAATATTAAAAGCTGATAGGACAAAACTTAAAATTACGACTTAAAAATCATTGATCCGCATTTTCCACCAAAGAACCTTGGATTTTGCGAAAGGTGTACAACAAGTCTGAAATTATTTTTTATCAAGATCCTTGGAAATGAAATGAAATCCGAAACTTCGTTCTAAGTCGTTAAGGCTTTGAGGCTGATCGAATGGTAAACAAAAAGTTTCCCAAAGTCCTCCATTAGCGTGCACCTCCATTACATAAGGTAAGTTCAGGTCAATAAGTCAGACAGACTGTAAGGACAGACAGTTTTATATATAGAAATATATTAAAGCTGGCTCAATGTCAGGTTTATTGATAAGAAGAAGAAAAAAAGCTGAGGCCAGGGGAAATTGGATGGCACAATGTTAAAATGTTTATAGCTCTTATGTTAGACATATATATTTATATTAATTTTTATTTATTTCTCAGGCAACATCTACCCGGATTGTTGGCGGTTGCTGGTTTTTCTTTTGTCTAATTATAATCTCATCATACACAGCTAATTTGGCTGCCTTTTTAACAGTCGAACGTATGATAACCCCTATTGAGAGTGCGGCAGATTTGGCAGATCAAACTGAAATCTCATACGGCACTTTGGAAGGCGGATCAACTATGACATTTTTTAGGGTGAATATTTGAGGAAAAAAATAAAAATATATAATAGTTAGGATAAGATAAGATAAGGAGCATAGTAAAAGTAATAACCGGCCTGTGATGATACCTGGAACTTTTCTATATTTAGTATTGATAGAAGAAGGTTTAGGATACTACCGAGTAGAGCACTTTCACCTTTATTTTATTAAATTTCTGCATGCATATGCATCGAATATTTCAGGACTCAAAAATTGGGATATATCAGAAAATGTGGCGCTACATGGAAAACCGAAAAGCATCTGTGTTTGTGAAAAGTTACGAGGATGGAATAAAGCGCGTAATGGAAGGCAATTATGCTTTTCTAATGGAATCGACAATGTTGGACTATGCCGTTCAGAGGGATTGTAATTTGACACAGATTGGCGGCCTGTTAGATTCTAAGGGTTATGGTATTGCAACACCTAAAGGATCTCCTTGGAGGGACAAAATTTCTTTAGCGATATTGGAATTGCAAGAGAAGGGCATTATTCAGATACTCTACGACAAATGGTGGAAAAATACTGGCGATGTGTGCAACAGAGATGACAAAAGCAAAGAATCAAAAGCAAATGCGTTGGGTGTGGAAAATATTGGTAAGTAGGAGAAGACGCTTCCCGAGTTAAAAGACGTACCCTTACCCTTAATGTAATCATTTCAGGTGGTGTATTTGTTGTTCTACTTTGTGGACTTGCGCTTGCGGTGGTTGTGGCCATTTTTGAATTTTGTTGGAATTCAAAGAAAAATCTGCACACAGACAATCAATCCTTGTGTTCAGAAATGGCCGAGGAGCTGCGTTTCGCCATGCACTGCCAGGGATCCAAGTCAAAGTCAAGTCAGAGACCTGCACTTAAACGTGATTGCATTAAATGTGCTCCCGGGTCCACTTACGTGCCAACTAATGTTACAATGCCAAACTTGGGCGTTCATTATAACTATTTTAATTGAATCAGATTCCGATAATAAAACATCAAAAAACTTAAAAGAACGGTTAAGGCTTTTAAAATTAAGTAAATGATGCTCATATATGTGCACGAACATGCATTACAGACTTTACAGACATCTATTTATTATTTTTGTATTGACTTTCAAAAATAAAAAAACACTTGTTGCGAAACGAATAAGACTCTAGTCTTTCAATAAACTCGCCAGGAGACTCGATACCCATGGATATTATCAGGTATTAAATTCCAACTGAATATTTAAATATTTGTCTGCTGAGTTTGGGTCGTTTGCAAACCGGTAAGTCGAGAGCAATCATTATTAATTGTATTATTAATTATTTTGATTTTATTTTAGTCGTTAGTTGATAAACTCAAATTATTCCCCAATTGAAAAGGAGGTAAAAATTTAGTACAAAAATTGATTATTCAAAAATATCTAGAAACTGTATAGAAACATTTTGACACATACTTGTTATTTTTAAGATATAAAGATATATTTTAAAAGTAACTCTTACGAATTATTAAAATTGATTATTTTAATATTTGCTTCAGCTTAAAATTAACCGATTTTCCGACCAAACTCAGTAAACCAAGTATTTAAATATTATTTTGGAATCAAACAGCTACAACATCTCCAGCATAAACCTAATTAACGATGGCTATTGCGCGTTTGTATTCGCAAACAAACGACGCAGGTCAGCTTTGCTGAGGGCTGCTCGAATCATCACCAAGCCTGCAGTTGGGAATTCTTTCATGTTAATAATTATATTATCTTTGGTATATAAGTATGGCATAGCCTTGTGCTTGGTATGCACACACACAATTGGTTTTTTGAGCCTGCGAAGAGGCCCCTTGCTATTCTGCGAAAAATCCATATTACGGATATTTGTACATATGCGATATTTATTGTTTTAGTGCGTGTACATTTTGTTAATTGTGCTAAGCAGACTTTAATTTCTAAAATTCTATATTAAAAACAATATTACCGTTTATTCTTTTTACAAGACTTGCTAATTTTACGCCTCTTCAATATCATGTCGTATAAAGCATCCAATCCCTCTTGTAGTCCTTCTCCAGTAATAGCACAAGCGGGCTGTATGTACCAGCCCTTTAGTTGCGTGGATGCATTTATGTTATTATGCTTTACTGTAAACTGGGAGCTGTTCTTTGTTGGTGATGTTGTATGTGGTGCGTTGCACTTAGCCTCGTTTGGCAAACTGGAGTCTTTACTATTGGACTCCGCGTGGGATTGGAAATGTTGCGAGTGTGGAAATGTGACCTTTATTGACGATACTTGTCTTTCATTACACTTGTCCGCATCAGGCGCCATCTGGATTGCTGTGCTCTGATTAGAATAACTTTGGTTTGAAGTGGAAAAACCGACAATGTTTCCTGTTGATGTTGAGCTGGAACTCAATATATTCGATATTGGATTGTGCAGCTCATGTAATCCTAAGAGCTTTTCAAGTTCCTTGGGACAACATGCGTTTGGTAGATCTTGTTTGTTGGCTAAAATAAGCACAGGGACCCCCTGAAATCAAAATTAGAACAGGTCTTAAATCATTTAGGTCGTGCGCTTTGTTTTCAAACAAAAATACCTGATTGTCTGGACATTTGGCTGTACGCATTAACTCCATTTTTGCCTCTTCCATGCGATCCGTATCGACCGAATCCACAACAAATAGAATTCCATCTGTGCACCTATAAAATATACAATTTTGTTTATCAATATTAATATAATAAACTTTGGTATATAATAAAACACATTTTATAGCATAATATTAGAACTCTACCATAGGTGAAAACAAGTAAGACGTTCCAGTCGGGAGCTCCCGACTAGGGGATACCCTGAACCCTCTTCTTCCAACATCAAATATATATATATATATATATTCTATTTAAAAAGCTATATGTCAAGTTTGGTGACTCTAGCTCTTATTATTTACCAAAACTGCCCAAAAAACCGGTTATCGATATCGATTTTTATCGATTGCTTGGAAATGGAGTAAGTTATCGTTTATTGGAAACAAACTCGATCTGCGCAGGCACTAGGCACCTACATCTAAAATTTCAAGTCTCTAGCTCTTATAGGTCCCGAGATCCTTGCGTTCATACACACGGATGGACGGCCGGACGGAAATGGCTAGATCGAATCGGCTATAGATGCTGATCAATAATATATATACTTTATGGGGTCAGAGAAGCTTCCTTCTGCCTGTTACATACATTTGGATTTTGCATAAATACAATAGACCCTTATACCCATTTTCAATGGGTTCAGGGTATAAAAAGTGAATATTGTTTTGGTCAATACACTAAGATATTATCTTATATATATTCGCGGTCTTTCAAATGTAGCTTTTTATTGATGTATACATAGATACGTATGTATGTATGTGTATGTTGTTAGAAAACATCTGTTTTACGTACCGAGTATAGCTTCGCCACAGCGGTCGAAGTTTTTCTTGTCCACCCACATCCCAAACGAGAAAATGAACACCCCTTGCTTTTCCTAAAGTTCCCTGAACCTACAAAAACAAATTAATGACTTCATTCTTTTGCAATTCTTTGAATAATGTACCTTCTCACAATTAAATCCAATAGTGGGTACTGTGTTTAAATACTGATCGAACTTAAGTCTGTATAGCGCTGTTGTTTTGCCAGCAGAATCCAAGCCGAGCATTACAACGTGTAGTGTTCCCTGCAATTATTATTGTCATTGGTTATTAAAACATTAAATATGCTGTATGGGCTACCTGTGAAGGCAAGGCATCCAATAAATTTCCATTTTTCACCATCGTTGCCCCCATTTTTTTTTTTGTGTTTGTTCTTACATTGCCACAGTTTTGTTTAGGGATGCTGATATTCTATCGATATATCGTATTTTAAAGACTTAATACGTGAGTCAAATTAGCGGCGGTGACTTAGCATGGATTTTTATACTTACCGTATCGGATAGGGAACTACTCACATAAATGTATTTACTTATGTTTTTAACCACAGAAACAAATAAATTTAAGTGCTGAATTGCAAAAATGTAATTATTTGCACTCTACATTCATTTGTTTTTTTCTTTATTTATATGAAAGAAAAATGGTATAGGCATAAATATATCATTTCTAACAAAATTTTAAATAAAAAATGAATTTAAATTCAAATAAAACATAACTGTGGACAAAATAATAATGGTAACTAATTGTTAATAATCTTTAACAGAATATTCAATGCAAAAATAATTCTAATTCAGAAAATTTTTTAACTTAAAAACATATCTTTTTTATCATAATTATTATTATTATACCCTTGCAGAGGGTATTATAATTTTGTCGTGAAATGTGTAACGCACATCTCCGACCCCATAAAGTATATATATTCTTGATCAGCATCAACAGCCGAGTCGATAGAGCCATGTCCGTCTGTCTGTATGTCTGTTTCTATGCGAACTAGTCCCTCAATTTTAAAGCTATCTTAATGAAACTTTGCAGAAGTCCCTATTTCTGTTGCAAGCAGCACATGTCAAAACCAGCTGGATCGGACCACTATATCATATAGCTGCCATAGGAACGATCGGTCGAAAATTAATTTTTTGTATGAAAAAACATTTTGCTTATCAAGATATCTTGACCAAACTCAGCATTTGTTAGTTTTACTATGCTCCTCATATAAATGCAAAATCCTACTACGATCGGACCACTATATCATATAGCTGCCATAGGAACGATCGGTCGAAAATTAAGTTGTTGTATGAAAAAACATTTTGTTTATCACGATATCTTGACCAAACTCGGCATTAACTATTTTCCCTGTGCTTCTTGGATACGGGCAAAGCACTATAAGTATTATGAAAAGGTTAGGTCTGCAAGGGTATTAAATCTTCGGCGTGCCGAAGATAGCCCTTCTTTCTGGTTTTATTTTCATATATGTACATAAATTTGAGGGGAACATTTTACTACTTTCTTTTCCGTATTTCGTCAGCTCCGCTTGACATACAAAATGACATGCATTTATTGGTGAGTTTTCGATGATTTGCAACACTGCTCACAACGTTGCACTGGAGTGAGATTTAAGTGTGACGCCAATGAAATATACAGAGATATGATTTAAATATGCATACACTAGGTATTTTGGTTTTACGGATGCTTGTTTACCACGAGTATATTTATAAATATAAGCACAAATTAGCTTGAAGAATTCTTTCTTTAAAACTTATTAATTTACATATTCTTTAAGTGTCATGTTTTCTCTTTATTTACAGGTATAATGAAGTTATAATATTTTAAATTATGATAGCCTGAAAGCTACCAGCACTGGTTAATAAATAAATAAAAACGAACTACACATACTAAAAATATTTTATCAATTTAAAATTAATTGTTTGGTATGTAAATATGTATGTTCATTATTATGCAAATTGTTTTGTATTATATTTTCATAAATACACATTCACGGAAATAAGAAGTGCAAGAAGAAGAAGAACGGCGATAACTTTAAATTATAATTTTTAATATATTTGTACGTAACACATAGAAGGAAGCATATACGACCACATAAGGTACAAATATATTTTTTTATCATTCGTATGCTCAAAGACACACGCATTAAACCAATGTGTTGAGTGCACGGGTCCACACGTGCATTACAAGGGGGGATTGTTAGTGTTTTTATTCAATTTTAATATTTAGAATAATATCTGAATTGCATTGTGTAGAGCATAATTTTAACATTTCTGTACAGGCACATATTAATAAATCCCATCACTAGGACAATTCAACATTAACGAGAAGGAAAAGCTATCTTCGGCAAGCCGAAGATCCAATACCCTTGCAGACCCAAACTTTTCATAATGCTTATAGTGTTTTGCCCGTATTTAAGAAGCACAGGGAAAATAGTTAATGCCGAGTTTAATCAAGATATCTTGATAAACAAAATGGTTTTTCATACAAAAACTTAATTTTCGACCGATAGTTCCTATGGCAGCTATATGATATAGTGGTCCGATCTTAATAGGATTTTGCATACATATGAGGAGCTTAGTAAAACTAATAATTGCCGAGTTTGGTCAAGATATTTTGAAAAACAAAATGTTTTTTCATACAAAAACTTAATTTTCGACCGATCGTTCCTATGTCAGCTATATGATATAGTGTTCCGATCTTAATAGGATTTTGCATATATATGAGAAGCTTAGTAAAACTAATAAATGCCAAGTTTGGTCAAGATATCTTGATGAACAAAATGTTTTTTCATACAAAAACTTGATTTTCGACCGATCGTTCCTATGACAGCTATATGATATAGTGGTCCGATCTTAATGGGATTTTGCATATATATGAGAAGCTTAGTAAAACTAATAAATGCCGAGTTTGGTCAAGATATCTTGATGAACAAAATGTTTTTTCATACAACTTAATTTCCGACCGATCGTTCCTATGGCAGCTATATGATATAGTGGTCCGATCTTAATAGGATTTAGCATATATATGAGGAGCATAGTAAAACTAATAAATGAAGAGTTTGGTCAAGATATCTTGATCGATCGTTACTATGGCAGCAATATGATATAGTGGTCCGATCTTTATAGGATTTTGCATATATATGCGGAGCTTAGTAAAACTAATAAATTCTGAGTTTGGTCAAGATATCTTGATAAGCAAAATGTTTTTTCATACAAAAAATTAATTTTCGACCGATCGTTCCTATGGCAGCTATATGATATAGTGGTCCGATCTTAGTAGGATTTTGCATTTATATAAGGAGCATAGTAAAACTAACAAATGAAGAGTATGGTCAAGATATCTTTATAAGCAAAATGTTTTTTCATACAAAAACCTAATTTTCGACCGATCGTTACTATGGCAGCAATATGATATAGTGGTCCGATCTTTATAGGATTTTGCATATGTATGAGGAGTAAAGTAAAACTAATAAATGCTGAGTTTGGTCAAGATATCTTGATAAGCAAAATGTTTTTTCATACAAAAAATTAATTTTCGACCGATCGTTCCTATGGCAGCTATATGATATAGTGGTCCGATCTTAATAGGATTTTGCATATATATGAGGAGCATAGTAAAACTAACAAATGCCGATTTTGGTCAAGATATCTTGATATGATATAGTGGTCCGATTTTTATAGGATTTCGCATATATATGAGGACCTTAGTGAAACTAATAATTGCCCAGTTTGGTCAAGATATCTTGGTGAACAAAATGTTTTTTCATACAAAATCTTAATTTTCGACCGATCGTTCCTATGGCAGCTATATGATATAGTGGTCCGATCTTAATAGAATTTTGCTTATATATGAGGAGCTTAGTAAAAATAATAATTGCCGAGTTTGGTCAAGATATTTTGAGAAACAAAATGTTTTTTCATACAAAAACTTAATTTTCGACCAATCGTTCCTATGGCAGCTATATGATATTGTGCTCCGATCTTAATGGGATATTGCATATATATGAGAAGCTTAGTAAAACTAATAAATGCCGAGTTTGGTCAAGATATCTTGATGAACAAAATGTTTTTTCATACAACTTAATTTCCGACCGATCGTTCCTATGGCAGCTATATGATATAGTGTACCGATCTTAATAGGATTTTGCATATATATAAGGAGCATAGTAAAACTAACAAATGAAGAGTATGGTCAAGATATCTTTATAAGCAAAATGTTTTTTCATACAAAAACCTAATTTTCGACCGATCGTTACTATGGCAGCAATATGATATAGTGGTCCGATCTTTATAGGATTTTGCATATGTGTGAGGAGTAAAGTAAAACTAATAAATGCTGAGTTTGGTCAAGATATCTTGATAAGCAAAATGTTTTTTCATACAAAAAATTAATTTTCGACCGATCGTTCCTATGGCAGCTATATGATATAGTGGTCCGATCTTAATAGCATTTTGCATATATATGAGGAGCATAGTAAAACTAACAAATGCCGATTTTGGTCAAGATATCTTGATATGATATAGTGGTCCGATTTTTATAGGATTTCGCATATATATGAGGACCTTAGTGAAACTAATAATTGCCCAGTTTGGTCAAGATATCTTGGTAAACAAAATGTTTTTTCATACAAAATCTTAATTTTCGACCGATCGTTCCTATGGCAGCTATATGATATAGTGGTCCGATCTTAATAGAATTTTGCTTATATATGAGGAGCTTAGTAAAAATAATAATTGCCGAGTTTGGTCAAGATATTTTGAGAAACAAAATGTTTTTTCATACAAAAACTTAATTTTCGACCAATCGTTCCTATGGCAGCTATATGATATTGTGCTCCGATCTTAATGGGATATTGCATATATATGAGAAGCTTAGTAAAACTAATAAATGCCGAGTTTGGTCAAGATATCTTGATGAACAAAATGTTTTTTCATACAACTTAATTTCCGACCGATCGTTCCTATGGCAGCTATATGATATAGTGTACCGATCTTAATAGGATTTTGCATATATATGAGGAGCATAGTAAAACTAATAAATGAAGAGTTTGGTCAAGATATCTTGATAAGCAAAATGTTTTTTCATACAAAAACTTAATTTTCGACCGATCGTTACTATGGCAGCAATATGATATAGTGGTCCGATCTTTATAGGATTTTGCATATATATGCGGAGCTTAGTAAAACTAATAAATGCTGAGTTTGGTCAAGATATCTTGATAAGCAAAATGTTTTTTCATACAAAAAATTAATTTTCGACCGATCGTTCCTATGGCAGCTATATGATATAGTGGTCCGATCTTAGTAGGATTTTGCATTTATATGAGGAGCATAGTAAAACTAACAAATGCAGAGTTTGGTCAAGATATCTTGATAAGCAAAATGTTTTTTCATACAAAAA